CTTCTTTCACCTCCTGTTAATAATCCCCTTTGTTTCTCTGTTTACTTCATCTCACTAGGCCTCCTGGCTATTTCCATGCCTTTGAACGAAGAGGCATGAGAGAGAAAGACAAAAAGAAAGAATGGGGGCTCCAGGCAAAGACACAAGTGTGACATCGTTGACCCCCCCATAACTTGACCTGGATGTTTCACAGATTGGGAAAACACAAAAAAGACTGTCTAGGATTGACCTTAATTTGCTACAGCTAAGCAGAGTGGGAAAAGAAAACTATAAAGCAGACAGGGAGAGGTCAAGGTCTGGTCATCTGATTTAATTTGTTAAGACTTCTGTCTGGGTCACTGACTGCCCCCCCATACCCGGCATTTGTTTTCTTATATCTTTACTTGTCTTTCCCTCTGCGTTGTGTTTGTGTCTCTCACTCACCACCTGTCTACCTGACAGTCTCTTTTCATGTTTACTGACAGCCTGTGTGTCTGTCAGCGTAGTATCTCATCAGATATGTTTACATGCACAGAATCACCTACAATACTTCAACTGTGTAGATGAACCTTTTCATACACTTTGATCAGCTGTGTTGACAAGTTAATCAAATATTCGTGACCACAGCTTCAACGGTCTACAAGGTAAAAGTAACACCTTTCACTGTGGATAGTTTACTTCAGGTACAGGGTGAAAACATATTAATAAATATAATTCCTGCTTGCTGCTAAGTTTTATGTTGCCATAAATCTGGACTTCAAATGTACAATGTTCAAGGTTACACTTCCAGTCAACGTCAACTTTTTAAATTTGATCTATGACCACAATCTTTCCCAAACCTTTACAAATAGCTTTAGATTATCTAAACATAACAATAAAATTATGGAGCTATTGTTACTTGGAGCTTTAGCTGCTCCAAGTGTATATTACAGAAAAAACATGAAAAAGGTTCCTTTAATTGTAATTATTTAATTACAGGATTCAGACATCATCAAGTAGCTTCAAAGAATAATGAGGCTTTTCCTGCATGTAAACATAACCGTGATCTTTTTTCTCCTTTCTCCATCTCTTTGTGTCTTTTTGTCTTCCTGTGTGTGTGTGTGTGTGTGTGTGTGTGTGTGTTCTTCTGTTCATCAGTGTCTCCAGCAGCACTGCCCCTCCTCCATGGCTATCCTCCGATACAGCGTATACTGTAGTTAGCTTAAGGCTCGATTGTGTGTCCAAGAACGGTACAATTTCTATTCTCCTCTTTTAGTCATTCTTTCTCCTTCCTTTTTTTAGTATTCATCATTTAGGGGGTGACATTAAGAGTGGTGGATAAAAAGCAGGGTGATTCATCACTTTTAATCTGGTTTTCACCCAACCTCTTTTAATACATATTCAGACCTCCCCCGTGCATATACACAGCTCTTTGGCAATCCATAGGTTGCAATAAAACAATCACTGACATTTTGCTTACACAGTGTCTGTCCATCATCTGGGAATCATACAGTCTGAAAAGCAAAAACAGAAATAAAAGGAAAAAAAAAGATATATACTAAAGACAAACTCTAGAATACTGACTCTAAAGCACGACTCCTAAACAGCATGTTAGATTTAGATAAGCCTCTGATGTTCCATCTTCCTTCCTATTTTACCTTTCCTCTACTCTTTGTAAAGTCTGATAATCTGTAATGGAAAATGTGCCAAAATATAAAAGGACTGAAGAAACAATTAAGACCATGGAGTCCAACACAATGCTAAAGGAAGTCCAACAATGGCAAAAGAGCTCTACAGAGCAGCTACAAACTGAAGCTGGCTTTTCTTTACCTTTTTTATCCAAACAGATACAAGTCTAAAACAGAACAAAAACAGTCACCATTACTCTTCTATGCCACTGGTTTCACAAAGCGCAGACCGAGGGCAGACAGTGGAGCGAGCGAGCGGCGTATGGCAGGCTAATGGACTCTTGTAACTCACAGAACTCATATTGAAAACTTTCAGAAACAAACAAAAAAGAAAATGTCCCTTTTCATCCTCTTACTTCTTTGCCTTTAGAAATCTAGATTCATTTGAGTTATGTGGTTTGATATCTTTTTAATCTCCTTTAGGGGACTAGGCATTCACTTGATATGTTGATTTCAGTCAAAAGACAGCAGTCAGCGGTCGGAACGTTTTCATTTCTTCATGCCATCTCTACTGGCCGCATTCAAGTTCAAGCTCATAAGGACAAATTTGACATTGCCCTTCTGCAAAGAACCAGCCATGGATCCCATCACCAATATTCTCACCCTAGACTGTGCTGTCATCTGTGGTCCAAATGTCCATATTGTCATGGGTGCTCTAGTCCATCTCTTTTTCAGTTTCACTGCAGTGGCTGGTGCATTACATTCTATGGTAGCTCTGTCATTCATATTAATTTATTCATTCCTTTATTCATTCACAGGCTTTTAGAATTGAGCAGGCTTTCTCCTGCAGGCAGAGGAGATATGGTACTGTAGGCAGGGGATGACTGGGGTCAGATGTCCTTCCATTTTAGGCCTCATAGCATTTAAGGGAGATCGAGATCATACATCCCCACTGGCACAAAAATAGGTGAGGAGACTGGGGCTAAATGTGACCCCTTTAGACCTCAGAGCAAGGGATTAGCAGGATATTAGGTAGGGGATGCTGGGGATGATAAAAACAGATTCTTTTTTTGTGTCTTCTTTGTCCAATTTTGGTAAGGGATCACAGGGAGTGTCGTTCCCTATCATTCTCCAGAGTTCCCCTCCTCCTTCTCTTCATGCCTCTGAGCAGCACCTCTGCTGGTTCATCTTTACTTTATGCTTGATCCCGTCGTACAGTTCAAAGTTGTAGTTCTCCAGTGTCGTGGAGGAGCGTGAGGAGAGCCCGCTGTAAGAGCACGTGCAGTAGAGGAGCAGTCCCGCGCAAACTGCACCGAGCAGGACGCCCAGAGAGCTCATCACAATGATAGTGAGGAGGATGGGGTCCAGCGTGTACAGCCAGGCATTGTCCTTGTCTTTCTCTGACACCAATGTGACGGAGGGGGGGTCCACATCAGAGGAGGAGGGGGTGGAGAAAGAGGACGGCCACCCAGGAAAGACATACTCTGGAGGGAAAAGAGGAAACTTTAGAAAAACCTTTAGACATGATTTAAGAAACTAACATTAAATACACACCACATACCAAGCGTTGGCCTACTTTCTATAAATCCTATCCCCGCAAACCACACTGATGTCATTTAGATTTGTGGATGTGTTTTATTATTCCAGGCAGCCATTTGGCTCCACTAAAATCTGTATAATTAGAGAGTCGAGACCTCTGAATCTTGCTTTCGTTGTCAGATATATATAGTCCTTTAAATTGAGCTCACAAGTGACAATATCAATATCATGGTAAATTCTACAATGTACAATAGATTTGTTCATTTGCAAAAAGAATGTGGTGTTTGTTCTTTTAAAAGTCTCACTTTAAAGAAATGAATTTAACTGTATCAGAGGCAGCACATTATGGCTGATATATTCAAGAGTGTCTAATTCTGTTAATTGCAACCCCAGTTGTTACTGACTTCTAAAATTTGAAAGCATAATGAAATTAATTAGTGTAAAGGTGCTTTCTGGTGTGTCTGGTGTGTGTTGTGAGTGGAAATGTGTGCATCTACTTAGTATAAGCAACCATGCTAATCCACTTAATGAATATATACACATGAACAGGCCCATTCATAATTAGAGAGTGTTTTATGGAAGAACACACTGAAACACACACGGAGAGAGAGAGCGAGAGAGAGAGAGAGAGAGAGAGAGAGAGGAAAGCAGTAAACATGCTCGTTTAGTGAAGTAATAGCTGAGTATTCTTGTATCTGTCACGAGCCAGTCGGAAACAAGGGCTAGTAACACATGGTTGTGGGCACACACACACCCACACACACACACACACACACACACACACACACATACAGATACAGATACACATGCACCCAGGAAGTAAAACATGATTGTCACAGACAGATGTTTTACTAGGTGCCCAGGAGGAAGCTGTCTTACTCGTTTTGTCTGCCATGGAACATGAAAGAGGAGCAGAGGAAATTCATGCCAGCATGGACAGGTGTACACACAGACACACACTTTTGAATGCTCTCTCATAGGTTGTCACTGTGGTCACAGCCTTTTTTTGGAATCACAAGAAAATTAAGACCCATAGATATGTCTCAGCTTAAAAAGCTATTCCACTATGGTTTGGGGGAGACTTGAGAGGAGGGGAGAGGACAGGAGAGGGGAGGGAGAGGAGATCACCTCCATCGATTGGGGTCTTATGGTTGAAAACATCTTTCCCGAAATCCATTGGCCGGGGGTCTGTTAAAAAGACAGAATAACAGTATTATTGTCAAATATCCAGTCAAGCCGGAGCAGCTCTGGAGTCCACATCCTGTTGCGATAACATTGCTCCATCTCTTATGTTGTCACACAAGCTACATCTGTAGATGGAAATCAAACTACACAAACAGCTCAAAGAGTGAGTGATCGTCTTTAAACTTTCTAAAGAGATCTGGCAAGAGATTTCATATAAACCATTTTGTTCTGAGCCCAGTATATCAAGGGAAAATAACATCCAGGGTGGCTAAACATTTCACCCAGGCTACCTGCATAAAGCCAGCAAGTTTCATTATGTGATAAGCATCAGTGCTGTTTTATTTGCTTAGAAATCGTAGGAGTCGAGAAATAGAGAGACTGAATAGAAGAACAGGGAAGAGAAGGACGGGGGGGAGACTGAACTCTGAAAAAAGGCAGACAAAACAGTTAAATAGAAAAATATCACTTTTATTTCCTTCACATTCCCAACAATATATTTTTCTTTTTTATTTCAAGACCATGAAACTCAGCAAGCCAAAATACCATGTAATATTTCTGAAGTGCAAGGCTTTGAAGGGTTTGGAAGCTCAATTCTGCTTCAGTTCAGTTTTGTTCAACAAAATTATTATTACAATTTAAAGGAAAAAAAGAAAGCAGTGTGA